TTCACCTTCACCTTCACCTTCACCTTCACCTTCACCTTCACCTTCACTCTCTCTCTCTCTCTCTCTCTCGTTCCCTTTCTTTCTTGCTTGGGTGTCCCTGAATGCTTTCGTCATAGCTGGGAGCCCGTCCTATTTTGGTGTGTCGTTGGATGCTTGAGTCGTAGCCTTCGTTTCTTCCTTTCTCTCCTTTTTTCTTCCTTCCTTTTCCCCCCCTCCTTCCTCGCGCGCGGGGTGCCTACAAGCAAAGAAGGCTTCTGCAACAGGTTTCTCAATGAGGTTTGGTCTGTCATCGCTTTGTCCCCTTTCATTTGGTTCCCTCTTCATTGGCCCCCACAGACGTCTTTTTCTTTCTTTTCTCTTGTGCACACTTTCTCCCGGGCCTTAGGTTGTACACATACACGCGCGCGTATTATAGGTTCAGGTGCCCCAGGTTTGTTACAATGAGGTTTGGTTCATCGGCTGTCCCTCTTCACTTGGTTCCTCTTCATCGGCAACAACACACACTTTTTACTTTTTGTCCATCTCGTCTCTTTCATGTCCCTCTGTCTCTTTTGCGTGCACATGTGCTCCGCATAACTCCCTTTCCGGGCAGGATGGGGGTGCTTCCTTTCCGGGCAGGATCCCTTTCGGGAGGCGTGTGTGTGGAACCTTGGCATCACAGCAAATTATTGGGTTTCGAGCAGGGGGTGCAAGCAGCCCATCCAGTCTTGCACCAACGAAAACACTGGGTGTGTGCTGGTGATGTCGGTGGGGACGCCCACCGATGTACCTGCCTTTTCTAAACTTTGGCACCTAGGGGGATGTGTTGTTGAGTTTGTGTCTTGTGAACTAGTAGCGCTGGCCTCAAACTTGGTGCGATGGCCTCCAACACACTAGAAATGACCTCCAACTTTGTTGTTGCGATGCTGCTTTTGAGCTTGCGTCTTGTCAACTTGTAGCGCTGGCCTCTAACCTGGTACTATGGCCTCCAACCCACTAGCGGTGACCTCCAACCTTGTTGCCTGGTGTCGCTTTCAGCTTGTGCGCACAACCTACTAGCGATGGCCTCGAAACTTGGGCGGTGGCCTCCAACTCCCTAGCGATGGCCTTCAACCTACCTCTCCATTTTACTTAGGCAATCTTTTACCCAGGTTGAACTGCATCGATGTCCGTACGCCATTTCTATAAATGTGTGTGTGTGTTTCATTCACCAGTCCTACAGTATCTCATCCTGCTCTACCTGTAGTCACCTAACGATCAGGTGCCAACACGTTCTTGACATGACATAAGACCTACCTACTATATTCCTTATGTCACTTGACGCCTTAGCTCCCATGTGATCTGCACCCAGTATAATGGGTTCCCTGCTCCTGGTGGCTCCTGACACGGAGAACTGTGATGTTCTGGTAGTTATACCTGTGGATTAAGACAAGTAATCCTGCTTTTGGGTGAAATCATGGACATATCAAACCCATTTTTTGGAGGGTTTCTCAATTTCATCCCATGTTCTGCTAGTGAGAACAGGCTCAAGAAGAGGTCTTTGTGGAACGTGCATCAGACCAAGAATTCATGACGAAAAGAGTGGTCTTTGTGGTTTGTCTCTTTCACATGTGAGTTGTATTGCCATGGGCTGTGTCAGGATGCTTCACGGGGAGAATTCAACAAATTTTTGGAACTAAGCTTTTCTTAGGCAATGGTATGTAAAACTGAAAATACTGACCTGGGTGGCTTGTTGGTTCAACGAGGCCTTTGTGCCCCTGTTGGTGGCGGAAATTGGGATCCTGACTCTTGGGCTTGGTGGAGGGATCTGGCTTTGGGAACTTTCGGAAAGCTAGGAACTAGATCTGTGAAGCAACCAAAACACTGAAACCCCAAAGAGGGCCTTTAGCCGCCTGAAACCCAGGGGAGATGGGAAGATGTTGAATTACTTAGCTTCCTGTATTTGCCATGAACTATTAGAAGGGTTGTTCTGAGGTATGGACCTCTTGAAACCAATCTCCAAAGACCAAAAACGCACAGGCCTTCAAAGAATGAGACGAAAGGCTTCACCCAAGCGCCAGCGCTGAAGGAAGGGATCGGGCTTGGCAATTTGGTCGGACATCTTTGGTTGCGATGCTCGGATCCACGGATTTGACATGGTGTTGGACAATACCAAGGCGCGGTGAAAGCTGGGGAAGAACAAGATAGCCATTTGTTGGGCTTGGGGTTGAGAAAGCATACGATAATGATGACGCTTCTTGATTGTTTGTGTTTCTTTGTTTGAATGCGCAAAGACAGATGATTGAATAACTTTTGCGGACAAGGTTTCAACTGGACAGCTTGATATCCAAGTATATATATCTTCTTTCTGCTTTGTGGCAACAGGATGTATGTCAAACTAACCGTAGAGGGACCCTCTTCTCTGGATGGCCAGACCACTCGAAGAAAAAACACATCGATGATTCATCGAAGGGGCGTGAATGAACACGAAGGGATAAGCCAGGGAGAAGGCCGATGAGCTGTTTGGGAGGCCAACATGGATTACATGAAACGCCATGGTGCCTTTGTAAAGAACAACCTGGAGCTACACACCATCAATCAGATGAAGCTGGGCTAAAAGGTTGCAAAGGTCAAATTGTGTGCTTTGTGGGTAGATGCTGCCTGAAACAAACTTTGGATTCTTTCTGAGGAATGATAACACTGCAATTGTGGAAGCAATCGCTGCTGGTAAAAGGTTCTCCTTTGTGGTGGATGATGGTTATCATACCATGAAGTCCATTTGGCTGACCTTTGACTCCTTCCGACCTTCGCTGCACCAATCGGCCTTCCTCTACGTGGTGGAAGACATCAGTCTGGATGAGCTTGACGCTGTCAAGAAGTTGTTCAAAGACTATCACGTCGACGAGTGCTCGGCCGACCAGCGTATCATTGCGGTCACGCCGAAGACGCCGAAGACGGGGACTTAGACGCCGAAAAGGATCCCGGTCGATGAGTCGAGTCGAGATGAGGGTGGTCGCTAGCAGGTGGTCGCGCTTCGCTTCGGTCGTTTCAGAGAGTATTTGGAACCATTCATTAAAACAATCAATACTTTCACACCGCAACAAAAGCGTACTCACAAATTAAACGAAGGTGAAGAGTTGGGGGGTATCCGCAGTGTCTGGTTCTACGGGGCTGGCCACTTCCAAAAAGACAACATTAGCACCATTATCAAGAGGGCGGGCCATTGCTGGTGCCGCGTTGAGAGCGCAGTTATATCATTCAGATTTGCTTTGAACCAATCCGAGTCGCGTGACGCGTTCCCCTCCAGAATCACTCAGCAGTATTATCGGCTGGTGGTTGTAGAAAACGTTTTCGTATGCCATAATCTTCAGGCCACTGGCATTCGCAGTTGAACCATTCAAACGTGGGCTGGGCCTGGTAGCCACTACTGCAAAGCCAGCTCTGCTTTTTTTAAAATAAGATCTTTGATTCAGGCGTTCACCTCCTCCAATTCATGCTGGGGCATTCGCCGAGAAGCAGCAACCATTTCCTCAGACAAATAGTGGGGGCATATGGCTAAACTTAATTGAGGTCGTCAGAACCCTACCGGCATCCTTAGCCTGGGTAAGCGTCGAAGTCCCTGAATTCCAAATTCCAAAATTCAACGCACAGAGAACTAACATGGACGATGTGAAATGTCAGCATGCAATTTTTGGAGCGCCAGATTTGTGCAGAACACATTGTACATTGCAGAGAGAGGTTAGCAACGATTTGACACCTTGTGCGCTCAATTGGCGGGCTCAGCTGGAAGCGTCGTTTCACCCGGGCACCTATCAATGGTGTAAATATTTTTCGAATGGATGACCCAGGCAGGCTGCTTTTGTCGGACGTAGCCTTAGAGCTGCCTGAGCTTTTTCTTGCGTAAGCAAAGGGCGCCGCATTGTTGAACGTGTTTGATTTTTGTGTTTGAGGTTTGGTTGGGGGGGCCTCCTCATCATCACCATCATCCATCATCATCGTCCTCTTCTGGACAGAATAGATGATAAGAAAAAGAAGCGAACGGGGACTCTACTAGATGCACATATGATGCTCACTACTTTGCATCTGTTTTGGGACCACTTTTTTGGGATATTACTAACGCAGCGTTGCTCACGCCTCACGCTTTCCGATCATGGTCGTCATCATCTTCATCATCACCATCATCATCGTCATTATCATCTCCACATTTTTCCCTTGCCAGATGATTGGTTGCGTCTCCCATGATACATGCATGATGGCAACCTTTCGTTCACCCCTCCTCAAGTCCGCCCGTGTAGGTCCACACAGTGGTGGTGCGGCCACTTACCACTTCTTGCAGGGATTGCCACGAGACACGCAGCAACTTGGATTCTGATGGTTCCAATAGTATTCAGTTGCTCAGATGATGATACGCAAGGAAGTTGCTAGAGGTTTGGCCCTTCCAGAATTGAGGCATGCCTATATAGTGGCGTGGCTGCATGGGCGGAAGGGTGGATTCAACTGGGGTGTCGTTCTGGTCGAAAGGATTGCAGAAGTTTCGAAGGTGGCACCACGGCAGGGCGTTTGCACATTTCATCCACTGATACGTGATCTTTGTTCATTGCGGGACGTTTTATGTTTGTTCGTGTTTGTTCTGGGTTCCGATGCTTTTTGAGAATCCTCACATCATGTTTTCAGCCTGGCGCCCCCAACCCCTGAGGCATCGCTTTCATCACGCAGTCGCTCAGATTTCGTCGCCGCTGGGCGGGAAACTAGAGACAGCCAGCCAGTTCGGACTAAGGTCTGCTCCTCGTGGACTAGCACAGGAACAGTAAAGACCACAGACATGGTCAAAGCATGTCAAAAAACAACTTTTTGGGAGGATGTTCCCAACCATTTTCATGGTTAAACTCGAATGTTTTCGGGCTAGAATCTTTTGGAGCCCTTGACTTGTGCGCTTTGGGTTGCAGTCCCCTGCGGCTGTGCAAGTTGCAAAGGGTTCAGATTTCAGGGCTGTGCTGGGTCGCATGGATGGCCAGGCATATTTGGCCTCCTTGGAGAACGATTTAGCCGAGCGCAAAGAGGCCTTCACCTTGAGAGGCCTGGCCGGCGCGGGTCGTCGATCTTCAGGGTTGTGCCGGTGAAAAGGTAGGCGCTCTGGTAGGGCAGTGGTCCCAAACCCGGTGAAACAAGTGCTTCAGGTTACCATTTTTGCCACATGGCTTAACACTGGAGTGCCAGTGTTGGCTTGGTCTTGCTTGTGCCAGTGTAGCGTTCGATACCTCTAGAGGTCCTTCAACGCTTTCTTTCGCTCGTTGCTGTGGGGCCTTCGGGGCTTGTTCAGAGGCGCCTTCACGGCGGAGGACGATGAAGGCCGGACCCCGCAGCAGGGGCGGAGTGCCATGTGCGGTGGGGGAATCAGATAAGTTTTTCCTTGGTGTTTTCTCGCTGCCTGGCCTTCAGACCCCCAAACAGAAAGGGTTTGGCTTGCCAGACCACGGAAGCGTCTGGGTGATTTCTCCATCCGAGACCTCTCAAAAACTCCAGGCGCCGCAGGAAGTATGACTCGGTGCGTCTCTGTTCTTTCAGCGGGACGGAGAAAATCCGTGATCCCAATTCCCAACATGTGGTTGACCGTTTTGGATGTGTGTTGGATGTGACCCCATAAGGGAGACCGAAACCAAAGACCCCCGGAAGCTTCGGGACATCGACACCAAGACTGCGACCGCATGAGGCTCCGTGTCAGAAAGTGCGGATGATTCCGACGTGGATCCCTCCGCGGCTGGGCGAGCACTGGAGAGAGGTGATGAAAAGGGGAACGTCCTGAGAATTGACATGCGGCATAGTGGCCCCCAAATAGATAGAAACGGTTTCCAATACATTTTTAGTGGGGATTTACGAACTTCTATCCATTTGGGGGTTTGTATCAATTCTTTCCATGACATGGCTGACATGGGGGTAGAAAAAAAGGTTCATCAGAACAGTCGGAAGTATATGACTGCTATTGCGAAACGGTTTGCCAGTTGATCGATCGAGGTCATGGCATCGCCGGTTTTGATGGGACTGGTTTAGGGGGCGGGACTGCGTGTTGGTGGAAGTTGTTGAGTCACCAAACCACACACTTTGAACAGAACTTGAGGGTTTGTTTGTTTTTTTTGCTTTCAGTGGCCCTTGCGTTTCATGAGAGGCTCTCGTAGGTGTGCGCTTTCTCAAGCAAGGACTAAGACTTCTGCATCCTCACTGGCCCACAGCCACAAAGACATGCGTTACGCTTTGGCAGAAACACCCAACATGTGCAAGACCTGAAGAGACGTTCATTGAGACCAAGGCGAAGGCATTTTTGTAATGCACATTCAGCGAAGAAACGTCCTGCCATTGGCAATCACAGCAAAGATGACCACTTTGCCTCACCCAACGTTCACATCAAGCTCCGCAAAGCATCACGAACGTCACCAGTCCCCCCATCCAAACCGAAGCAAGTTCTGCAAAGCAACGTCATGCCATTGGCAAATCGCTAGAAGGGTTTGGCACCTCCCCTGCACCGACCCATGTCTTGCATTGTGCAACATCACCTATCTGAGCAACACTAAAGACCGCGTCTGCACGCCAAGAGCAGCCCGACGCCCTGAGCTCGAAGCACTGTGCAAGAATTGGGGGGTTTCTCGGGAATCTTGATACAAGTCATCCTTAATTTTAATTAAGAAATCTATAAAATTAATGATGAAGGACAGATAATTCACCAACATATTAACAATTGTAGAAATGCCAGTGGCAAACGAAGTCCGCTGACAAGGGTGCCAAACCAAGCTGCAGGAAAACACGAAGTAAACCAAAGCGAAGGTTCGAACGGCACACGATCGAATTGAAGGGCAGCCGAAGCCGCCGCGCCCGGGTCGCCCGTTTTCACTCATTTGAGCCCACCCTCTCCGGATGGGTGCATACGGTTCATCTCAACCGCATGTTACACAGCGTGTAATTCACACGGGAGGCAGTAGTAAAAAAATACTAGTCTGCTGACGAGTTCACATCAGCAAACCAGGCATGGATCTCTGCTCGGAGAGATCCTCCGAGAGCTGGGTTCGAGACATCCAGCGGGCACCACTTGTTGCCGCAGTAGGCGCAGCATCGAAGAGACTGACGGTTGCGGTCCGCCATTTGCTCCACCATGTGGCACTCAGGGTAGTGCCAGCAGTCGCCTTGGCGTGATGAAACAATCACCACGCGGTGGGGACAGGCTTCCATGTGGTCGTCCATGGCCGTTTCAGCACGGCGCAGCAACATCGCTCCATCTTTCACCAGGGCCTTGAGATCGAAGATCTCTGCAGTGAATCGATGGGTCTCCATCAAGCACAGGTCCAAGGCCTTGCGAGCCTCTCGAGCGGCCTTCTGAGACTCTTCGCTTTTCAGCTTCTCCTTCTCCAAAACTTCACGAAGTCGGGCCGAGACAATGGCCTCATCCTTCTGCACTCCGGCTTCGCTTGAAGCCTTCACCGGTGCCCAATGCAGGCACTTGCACAAGCGACAGCTGCTTGCCATCACCAGGAGGTGGGTGAGCAAAAGGAAAATCATCCAAAACAACCAACCATCGTCGTTCGCAGGCTCTGAGGTCGTGACGGGCAGCTTATCGCACGTTTCTGCAGCGTGGCAGGAAGTAAAAACAAATGCAAAACATGTCAACCAAAACAGGACGTTCTTCATGCGACCGGTGCTCACATACTTCTTGCGGCTTTCGACATGGCGAGCTGTGGCGTAGACATACGTGACAGCGAGGGCATTCCCAACAAAGTTGACGCTCTCCTGAGAGTCGCCTGCCAGGTTCTCTTGGACCTCCTCGGACTCGGGGATGTAGTTTTCTTCATGTTGTTGTGCCAAACACGTACAGGAACTTTTGGCACCGAGGTGGTCTCAGCCAAAGCGCTGAGCTTCTCTCCCTTACTTTTCTTCTTCATGGCCTTGTAAGAGGGGTCCCATGTTGGCTTCAGCTTTTGAT